ACACACACACACAGCTTTAGTTGTTTTTATGATCTATCTAGGTTTTTGTTTTAATCACTTGAGTCATTCCTGTTAATTAGAATACTTTAGGCATGTATGCTACTGGCCATCAGGAGCAACGAGACATTCCCGGGTGGCCGGTCGAGTAGTGGGCCGATCGAAGAAGCGAGGGAGACCTCCCCCATATTAGGCGCTGTTTTTAAATTACAGCGCATGTGAAACTGCAAAAAGCAAATACTCCAAATGTGTGAAGCGGCGCTATGCATTCGACAGCCTCGCGCAAAAGCAGAGCGGGATATGACACAGAATTGTGTTATACAGTCGTGTGATATGAGAACATTAAAGGTTCTGTAGTAATTCTGGCTGAAAGCAACCACAACAATGTAAACTGCATGAGGAGGTAAATTGAAAAAGCCAATAGCCTACATAATTACAAGCTTGTCAATTCAGCACCATATAAATTTAACTTGCAGTTATTAACACTGCACAAATAGTCTATTGTTTAGCTGAATGCATTTATTATAAATGTTACAGTGATTGCTTATATTAAATATTGGGGAATGTTTTTCTTTTATAGAAGTTGTTTTTTGTAGTTTCTACATCTTTATTTATTTTTTATTACAAATTACAAATAGTTTTAATTAATTTTAACTGAAGTAAAATGTTAATTCAATAGAGCCTGATTAAAGATAATGATCAGTGCCTTATATAAATTAAGTGTTAATTATTTACAAATTTACAAAAGTTCTCAAAGGGATGGTTCACCCAAAAATTTAAATTGCCATCATTTACTCGCCATCATGTCATTCCAACCCTGTATACATTTATTTCTTCTGTGGAACATAAAAGAAGATAATTTAAGAAATTCAAGACATTTTTGTTCATACAGTAGAAATCAAGGGTATCCAAAATGGTTTGATAACATTCTACAAAATATCTTCTTTTGTATTCCATCGAAGAAAGTAAGTCTTACAGGTTTGGAACGACATGAGAGTGAGGAAACAATGAGATAATTTTATAGCAGTAAATTTTCTGCATTCTAGCTTAAAATCATTGCTTTACTCAATTGCCTTTCTATGAGACAAAGTTAAGTTTGTTGTATTTGCTGGGAATTCAGTAATATATATCATTATTTGTTTATTTGCCGTTTTATTTATTCATTTATTTACTCCAATTTAAGGCCCTATAACCCAGCAAAACATGCACGAGGAACTCGTGGGCCGGATGGGCTGGATTTGTCCAGCACCGACATTTACCCTCAGTCCAGCCCTAGGCTACATGGAGCATTTTTCAAAAAGGATCGAAGTGGGCTTTATTCATATCACTGCAGTGCATCCTGTATCATTTATACTTGTAATTTGTACAGACCACAACGTGCCCTGTAGAGAAATACCTTTGTGGAGCTGAAATGACATATTTTCGGTAGAGGAAGGGTAGGCTAATAAGGCGACGCTTACAGTTTATAATGCGATGTGATCTGATCTTGTATGCAATGATAGATCATACGTTCTCCTTTCACTTTATAAAACATTTATGGAAAAATTGTTTATTGGATGGTATACAAAATCTTGGGAATGGGATTTCAATCCTATTTTGGAAGAAAAAAAATCCTAATGGGATTAAACAAACCAAATTTTGGATAAACGGATTTATTAATTTATTGACTTTCGGTTTATCAAAACTTATTCGTTTTTTATAGGATTATAATTTAGCCTATATGAATGATTCTAAGTTATAGTTTCTATTAGCTATTTCTGTTTCTGTTAGCTGCGTTTTCTGTTAGCAGTCTATGAGCATCCTTTTTTCGACAAGGGATATTTAATGGAAATTCACGATGAATGTTTTGATACTGGACAGCTACGGATTTATAAAATAGGATGTATATATATATATATATATATATATATATATATATATACACACACACACAGATCGCTC